CAAGATGAATTAAATTAATTTTTTTTGGCACTTTCGTTTTTCGCGATTATCTCGGAAACTATGAGACCCGATCAATTAGCCCCCCATGTATAGATATTCCAAATTTTTATTTTTTTCCTCATTGAAGTAGTTTTGAAAAAAATTGCGAGCTAATAAAAAACATTTGCTAGTTAGGACTTTTTTTAAAATAAATTTTTGCCTGTGTGTATCACGCAGTTGTATTTTTATACACCTGTGTGTTTCACGCAGTCGTATTCAGATACTCCTGTGTATTTCACACTCCTGTGTGTATAAACACACAGTAGTATTAAACTTCAACTGCGTGAAACACACAGTAGTATGAAACTTCAACTGCGTGTAATACACAGCAGTATGAAAATTCGGCTGCGTGAAACATACAACCTTCACGCATGCGTGGAGTGTATGGAGTGTACGGGAGTGATTCACACAATGGTGCGAATAGTCACGGCCTTAAAAATTTCGTGGAATATTCGGTTTGAAAATTGTGTTGAATTTTCAGTTGAATATTATGTGGAAAATTGTGATGAAAAATTGGTGTGGAATTTTGGCCCGGCCGGGGCTCGAACCTGGGAGCTTGAGGTTGTGAATCTCATGCTGCTACCAAGTGCGCCACACAGCCGGGTTATTTCTATTCATTTCCATAGAATAATTGAACTGAAATTTACAGTTTCTATGGATTCTCTCATAAAATTGTGACTTTTTAATATCGAAATCCCCTGAAATTTCAGTGAAACTGTGACTTGATAAAAATGTTCAAGAAGTATACCGTCAATTTCAACAGTGTAACAGTAGTCGTATTAATTTCTCCAAACAGAGAAACTATCCTCGCATTGACAACACTATTTCAGATTTTAACTTTCGTCTACAAAGGTGTTATTCCCTTGTTTGCACAACAAGTTATCCGCTCTCCCAGCACCGATATTTCAGATTTATTGACCTGTCATCGAGTCCAGCCCTCGAAAACTGTGAATTAACCACACCGCAGGTGTCAAATTATCAGAGAACACTCGGCCCTGAACGTTTGACGTTAAGCCACCGCATACCCCCAGTAATTATATTTCGTTCCTCGGTTATTATAACGTACCACGGGGTGTACATCGGCATCATCAACGCCAGTGTACTCCAGCGCGTGTGTAATAACCTCCGTATGTGTACTGGAAATTACCAGCGAAATATTGTCAGAAGGGGTTTAACACACCTAGGCATTCCCCCCTTTCATTCCAATCCTCTTATTAATGGCCAGTCACACCGGGATTTATTAATCCACTTATTAAACGTATTTATTATCCTGTAATATTTATCTGTACCTTGAGTCGGGTTAAACGTGGCTCCTCAGCAGCGAGTTTCGCAAGCGCCTGGTACTCTCCCTGTGCCGCTCTCACCAGCCATTCTCTCGACTTCCCATCCAGTTGCTGATCGAAGATTTCGTAATTAATCATCAATACATCAATTTGTAACAACAATCAACAAATTCACCAGCCAAAATAGAAGACTCACCGAAGCCACAGAAGCGCTGTCATCCTCGTCCGTTCCCTGTCGAGCAAAAAAAACGAAAAGACATTCAATCAATTTCCCGTGAAATTGGCGTCACACAATAAAAATCATAAAAAAAATCACGAAAAAAGGGGGATATTGAAGGATAGAGGTGGAGCTGAGCCGTGATCCGCATCACGGGTAAACGACTATTCATCCCCGTTAAACTGTTTGTATTTTCACTCGTCACGGCAACGGAACGCCGCAGGAGGGCGACCATATCGACACACTTGGCGTCTCCAATCGACCATGACTTATCACAAAATTTGACTCATCTTTTAGTCGAGTCATTATTAGGTACCATCAAGCCACGATATATCTTTATCCATCTGATTTCTCTTTACCTTGCAGCCATTAATGCAGATGGAGATGGTGTCTCTCCGCTTGTTCAACCTCACGTGTTCACGTACTAATTTTTTCGTAATGAAATTTCTCGATTGAATAATTTTTTATAAGTATCGACCTGAGTTGCCGTTATTTTCATGAAGGTTTTTGTTTCTGTCTTCGAGGAGGTACAGGAGCCAAGAATAAAAAGGGACCTCCAACGTGAAGTGTTGGTTTTGCAGGAAATTGTTTTTGCCAAAAATTTATTGACCATTAATTAAATCCTGATATTTGAGTCTTTCTAACTCCGAAATATGCATAATTTCATACATCCCCTGGTAGCAGATGTGGAATGGGCCAAGATTGGCTGAGGGTGGCTCGATGCTAGCCAGCACTGGGCCATCCTTGGCTTACCCTCGGCCGTTCCTCATCTCCTACCAGGTTCTGACAGAGCATTTAAAATTTTCTCACGCCTCACCGAAAACTCAATATGTCTCTCTACTCTCTCGCAGGTAGAATGGTATCTCTTTCCTTGTCCAACTTCGCATGTTCACGTATTAATTTTTTTCGTAATGAAATTTCTCAATTGAATAATTTCTTTTGAATATAGACGTGAGTTGCCGTTATTTTTATGACAGGTTTGTTCCTCATTTCGAGGAGGTACAGGAGACTCAGAACAAGAGGGAACCTTCAACGCTAAGTATGTTTTGCATGAAATTATTATTGTCATTGCAAAAATCGATTAATTAATCATTAAATCATTAAACGGAGTATTTAAAACTTTCTCACGTTGCATCGAAAATTCAATATGTCCCTGTGCTCTCTCACAGGTGGAAATGGGCTGTTCGCTTGTCCAACTTAGCGTGTTCACGTACTAATTTTTTCCGTAATAAAATTTTTTGATTGAATAATTTTTTTTAAATATTGACGTGAGTTGCCGTTATTTTCATGAAAGTTTTTGTTTTTTTCTTGAAGGAGGTACAGGAGCCTCACAACAAGAAGGGAACTCCAGCGCGAAGAATTTGTTTTGCATGAAATTATTGTTATGATTTCAGCAATTGATTAAACAATTATGAAACCCAGACATTTGAGTTGTCTTCAAATCCCAAAGACCCATGATCGATTTGAACCCATTAGACAGAGCATTTGAAGCTTTCTCACGCGGCAGCAAAAATTCAATATGTCCTTCTGACCTCTCTTAGATGAAAATGGTATCTCTTCGCTTGTCCAACTTCGCATGTTCACGTATTAATTTTTTTCGTAACAAAATTTTTTGATCGAATAATTTTTTTTTAATATTGACGCGAGTTGCCGTTATTATTACAAAAGTTTTTCTTTCTCTCTTCGAAGAGGTACAAGAGGTGCAGAGCAAGAAGGGACCTCCAATCTGAAGTATTTATTTTACATGAGATTATTGTCATTGAAAAAATCGATTAATCAATAATCAACTCCAGACATTTTACTCTCTTCAAATCTCAAATACTCATGATCGATTTCAAAACACATCTGACGGGGCATTTAAAACTTTCTCATGCTGCACCGAAACCTCGATATGTCCCTCTGCCCCTGCGCAGGTGTAAATGGTCTCTTCGCTTGTTCACGTATTAAATTTTTTCGTAATGAAATTTCTCGATTGAATATTTTTTTTTGAATATTATGAGTTGTCGTTATTTTTATGAAAGTTTTCGTTTCTCTCTTCGAGGTACAGGAGCTTCAAAGCAAAATGGGACCTCCAACGTGAAGTATTTTATTTTGCACGGAATTATTATTGTCATTTCAAAAATTTATTAACCAACAGTTACCAGACATTTCAGTCCTTTCAAATCCCAAATACTCATGATCGATGTGAACACATCTGACAGAGCATTTAAAACTTTCTCACGGTGCATCAAACACCCAATATGTTCCTCTGCCCTCTCTCCCCCGTCAAACTTTTCCAGGACCTCTTAAAAAACTTTTGTCCTGACATGGCTTTATGGGCTCTTGGGCAACAGACACTCATCGCCTCCTCCAGGCGAATTAAATATGCTACATCTGTGTGCGCATGAGAGAAAGTTTTTTTTTGTCATATAGCCGAGAGAGCGGGACACTTGAAATCTTAATGGGCACTCTGTGGATTGTCCTCGAGGTTTGTATCAACAAGGACCACTCCCGGCCACTCGACTAATTTAAGGCACGCGTCCGATTCCAATGGCACGTGTCAAAGAAAACACGAAAAGTCGAACTCTTCATTCCTCCTATTATCATATCCAGGAGGCTGGTGGTGTTGATACTCGAGGGATATGGGAAATGTTTTAATAAGCTACGCACACAGTCCGTGCGTCTCTTGGGGTGAAGCGCCAAGTATAAATACATATATTCGTCTGCGATACGCAGTGCTGTAAAAGAGAGAAAGAGAGAGAGAGAGAGAGAGAGAGAGAGAGAGAGAGAGAGATATGAGAGAGGGAGAAATTGGGGTAGTTGAAACTGGTCAGGAGTGTACACAGGACGTATTGGTTTGAATATGGTGGGGTTTTGGTACAAGAGGCAAAACATGTTGCGGCACGAGCTGACTCGAGAGCTCCCCGGAATTAGCTTTATTATAACCTGGGGGCCATCCATACCCACCATAATTGCAAGTGAACATTCACGATACGACAAGTCAAATTATAAGCAAACATACACTTCTCAATGTAAGGTGAGGAAAACCTTGACAGCTTGACCGCTCATACCGGCCAAAAAGAATGAACGACACTGCAAAAACAGAGCAAAAGAAGCGGAGAATAATTCGTTAAATTGATTCACAGCCCGAGAGTGGAAGATTTCATTAGCTAGAAGGAAGGAAACGAATGGCCAGAGAGACAGAGTGGAGCCTCCGGTAGGTGGGAGATGAGGTAAGAACAAAGAGTTGCGTGAGGATAAGAGTACGGAGTCAAGCGGTGGAATAGAGAAGGAATGAAGAACACTGGGATTAGCTTGGGTAGGTATGCGAGATCGATTATGCGATCTGCGGATAACGTTGGCCTGATTTATTCCCCTAATGGGCGTTCGCGCATTCATTTCGGTGGCGGACGAGGCAATTCGCAAGCCCCCGGAGCTGGTGGTGCTGGGCCTTCCTCGCGAGCAGTACTGTCAGTGACAGGAAAACTCTCGGTGGGTGATTCAGCGTTCGGTTTCGGCGACGCCTCCCAACGACCGCCATAATGCCTATACGAAATGTCTTTCTCTTTCGCCCCCGGGGATTACTTACATCCAATGATTTTCCCAATCAATTTACTGAGGATTTTCTTTTTCCGACTTGATTATTAAACAGGAAAAGCCGGTTGATGGCTTCATCAGTGGATTCTGATGACAATTTGGATGGAAAGATTAGGCGCGACTTGTACGATAATTCAAACCGCATGGGACAGACAGGAAACGAGGACGAGAATTGGTTGGAATTAGCCAGCAACTCGATTATTAGTTTGGTGGTGAATGGTGATTCATAGCTGGCTAGTCGTATTTTCCTGGATATACCCAACTGCGGAGGCAAACCAGAGTTTGCTCCGGATGGGGAACATGGAGCAAACTACACGCACGCCTCTTCCAACCCATTCCCCCCAGTCACTCTGTCCCCCCACACCCCCCTCCTGGTTTTCCAAACGGGTGACAGGAATATTCGTACATAGCATGTACCACTCTGGCGCCCCTCGCAGGCCCTCTCTCATACGCATCGTACCGCGATCATATCGCGATGCTCCTATAATTCACTGGATTATTTGCACTCGACCATTACCATTTCCACCGTCATGTACCTGTAGTTTGTCTATCAATGCTATCGAGTCGAATTCCCCATAACAGTACGAAAATTACTGTTTTTTATTCGAATTAACAAATTTTTCCTGATCCCCTATTGCCCCTGGGGATTTAATTTTAACGAAGCCAAATCTTCGAGTCATGGATAAGAATACGCGTGGGTGTTTATGAAAGAAGGTAACACACCACTTGAAGCGAAAGCTCCTTCGAGGCGGGGATAAAGGTATGTAGAGGCCCACAGTGGTCTGACTGTGCAGCCCTGATACCTCGCTCCCATGGCTAATTCCGAGGTGTAATCTGTGGGTACCATCTCCACTGGATTAGCATATAGATAGCGTTAGGGGATGAAGGTATACAAGAGGCGCCTTGCCTAGACAATCGACGCCATGATCATTCTGGTTCAATGTCTTCCGCACGTACACCAGAGGGAGGACGACAATTTTCAATTACTACCATTGATATACTCTTTCTTGGGTTATCCGTTCATCAAGTGTACACTGCACTTGGGGATCTCGGCAATGCTAATCAATATTGACAGACTGGTACTTGGTTTAATGTGGCCATTTGGCGGGCATTTGTTGGCTCACAATGAGCTCATCTCATAGTGAGAAGCAGAAGTAAAGAGTCCAAGTGATTCGGTCGTGAGGTAATTTGTGTTCACAGCAGGGCTGAGCAAACACGCGCAGTGGGGGTGCTACGAAAAATTAAATAACCCGATGACTGGTCACATTCTCCTGCGTATAACGAGGCAAAGGTAGAGGTGTGCGTTGAGACTTCTCAGCGAGAAGTTACGAGTGTACAACCCGGGGCATAACGGGCCCCGTCATGCCGAATGACGTTGCCCTCCTTGTCATCCACGTGGTGCTCACTCCTGAGCCCTGATGTGCACCCTCTCACGGTGGGCCCATCCCGTATGAATATAGAATCGCCGTTGCATATGGCTTTTAAGTTGGAGAAAATGGAATGGAGAATGATGATTTGTATGCAGCTAAACGAGGATGAGAATAGGAAGGGAATAAGTATTTGGTTGAGAGAGGTATCGGAGGGGGGAATAGTGGACGACGAACCACAAACGTGAAACGAAGAGCGGCGACCTCCCGTGGACTTATGAATACAAATAGCCGCTCACTGCGCGATTCACAGATCTCTGATAAAGGTAAAGTCTTCAGACTCGCCCTCTGCGATTCAAATATGTGTATGCGTATGTATATGGGTTGACCACAGAGAGCAACCGTTTACCAAAAGATTATCCCCCTAAGATCGGATCGTGATCGGTATCGAGAGAGTCTGGGAGTTTTGCGCTCGTGGATCAGTTGTGTCATTAGTTTCTACAAATATCATACAAATACTTCGAAAGGCCGTTTAGGAAGCGATTAAGCCATGATTTTCATCTCCGTCGATATATCTGGGAGCGAGAAATTCCTCGTCCAACGATTGATTTACTGAGTGGAAATAATGAATGTCCTTTTAGTCGTCGAGGCAAGTCATGTGGAGAATAAAATGGATCAATCTGAATGAAGAAGTGATATTCTCGGTTGGGACTGAGAGTTGGAATGTCGTTGGGATCCTTAACGAGACGCCCACGCCCAGTTGGCTTTTGCCAGCTACCCGGTGACACTATCGTGTCTCATCCAGGCCCTAATGTCGTGTCCAGACGTCATGCCAAGGCTCGTCAGGCCTACAGTCACTCAGAGGAAAAAGAAACTAGTATTTCATCGTTGGGGTCGAGGTCAGAAAAGGGTTATAAACTGGTGAAGAAACATCATTGTGAAAGTGAGGGTTCGCGCCTGGTACTATTCTTCAGATCGATCGATGTTGATTAGTACCGGGAACATTAGTACATTAGTACATTGGAGTTAGTACTCGACGACAGGATAAAAATTCCACGTGGAATTCTTTAACTTATCATTTAACAAATTGGTCTCACCTACCGTACTACATTATCAGAATTACCCTCGGAGAAATAAAACTCTTTAATCTGTGAAACAACAAAAGAGGACACCAGTGGTTTAACCTATCTAACGTATCTCCTTCGGGTGTTTTTAATAGAGTGGACCCCCCCAATGGATGGCTCTCTCCCTGGTATCTCCCTCTTGGACACCTTAAAAACTTGGGCGCAGCAGAAACACAATTCATGAAAAACCTTCACGGCCAGGTGCTTCCGTCCATGGTATGCCCCATGTCGCGAGCTTGAATAATGACTGAAATATATTTCCTAAATAAATAATGATACGCCCTCGTAAAGTTTACGCTCGCTCAAGCGCAAGTCCAGCGCTGATGCACACAGCCGAAAAGGATAAACTTTGAAAGGGGGAAATAAAAAATATCAAACAAACACATATACTAATCTTGAGTGGCTAGATTTGGCTGCAAAGATAGCGACCCATACTGCGAGCTCTCTAAACGCCCACTCTTGGGTAAACCAACACAAAAAGAAGAAACCCGTTTTGTGGCTGTATCGAGATTCAAGAAAAATATCCTCGTCATGTGATAGAGACCCAAAAATTTTCAACTCATTCATCATAGATTCCTCTCCTAGGGGTTTTATGAATGAATATAGCATCCAAAAATGTAGTTTCATTTTTCTAAGCCTGTCTATTCTCTTTCGAAATATGCTACCGTTAGCAGACACGCACATAATTTAACCAATGCTGAAAGTTGTTGAGAGGATGTCGTCTCAGGATCACGCAAGCTGTGTCCCCTCATCCACCACTCGGTTTCTTCCACCCCTCCGTATATGCTCCTTCACTCCAGTGTAGCGCGACGTCTTCCACCATTCTCAACCCTCTTTGCATATACATTCTGTAAGATTACTTTGTGCGGTTTACACCCTGCGTCCTTCGTCTCTAACGTCGACTACCCTTCCACCTCACGATATAGCCCCATCTTCACTAGTACGCCTTGAGCTTTGCCAAGGGCTATACTACCTCACCCAAGTTTCGTCCTTCTTAATGTATGCTGAAACTATACGGGAATTCACAAGTTTGTCAGTGGGCGAACTGAGAGGGGTGGTGAAGAGTTGGACCTGGAGAGATGGGAGTTTTACACAGTTGGTACTTCACTCTCTGGATGCCTCGTTCATCTAGACCCCAGTGTTACACTCTTGACAAGGGAAGCAGCAAGAAAAGGGGGCTCCTTCGCGAGAACACGCGTGATCTTAATTAGGAAAAAGCCTCAGGGTTTCCACGAAAATGACGAAATTTACTTTTGCAAAAAGGGCTTACATGGTTTCACAAAAGTACCTTCCCCCGAGTTAATGCAGAATCTAGTTTTACAGTTGTTTAATCAGCCATGTAACGGCGTCAATCGATTGGTCACGTCTTCGGGGGAAAGAAGTCGGCACGCGACAGCATTCCCTCAGTTGACTCATTGAGGATGCCACAGGACTGAATGACAAACTCACCATACTGAATAATAATTATTTTTGGAAAGAAGTGTCAGGCGGCGCCACACGAGTGCAAGAGGATGTCCGGAGAACTGTCGGCTCGACTCTTTCCAAGGAAAGAAAATGAGAATTAATCCGATGTATACGGTATATGAAAGGGCTTCCCTTTTTCGGCTGAAGAAGCTCACGGCACAGACAAGGAAAGCATTGAAGCAAGAAAAATGAGATTCGAATAAAAATTTTTTTTGGAGCTGTAGCCACGTCGGAAGGAATAATTTTATGAGCTGTATGCGATGCCGATTTCTCTTCCGTTTTAGAGTACATGCTTTCGGCATCTTTTAATCGGCCGAACTCAGTATAAACTCATTTGAATTATGATTGAGCATCCGGTTGCAGAATCAATGTTTATAAAACCCCCTCTTTGGTAAAGGAGGAGGACCTCTTGTGGATCGACTTTTAATTTTAAAACTCCCTGGCTAATTATGATTTACGGCGACACAGCCACAAGACATCCTGATCGGTAAGCGAGATACCAGCAGGATATTCAAATGCGATGAACAGTGCGTTTGCCAAACGATAAACAGTTTTGCATCGATGCATGTAAGAAAAAAAAGAGAGAGAAGTTTGACGGTAAAGGATGGGCAATGGAAAAATTAACGAATGAGAGTCAAGTGTTGGTGAGTGTACGTTATTTTAAGATTGAAACAAACAAATGATCACCGGTAAAGCCAACCAATCGGTATTCTCAGTAATTCATTGGTTATGCATGATCAGGTACCAAGTGGCATCCTCTATTCCTTCCTTCCTCGTTTCCCCGAAATGGGCTTATGTCACTGGGTGTTCCAAGTCAATCTTTTTTTAACGTATTTGATATCTTTATGATGGGTCACTGTACCTTGTCGGAGCGTTTCTTGACTGGTGATGTAATACCGTTTGGACGACCGTGAAGATCAGTCTCACTTGCCATCCGGTTGAATCGCTGCATTCGTTCACGAACACTTGGCAATTCTCCGCTTCCTCCTGTCGGCTCGTCCTCCTGGATTTGTCAATAACAATCATTCGGGTATGTGCGGTTAATGATTCAATCAACCTTCACCAGTACATTCCAGTCTACAGTGTCAGTAGTGAATGAAACCTAGAGTTTTAGAATCTTGATAGATGTAAGAGTCCAGCCAGGATGCAACAACGAGACATGATGAGAGGTGAAGTTTAACGACTACAAAGACTGATTGTTCATACTAATACTTTCACACCGCAAGCACTAATAGGCACGTAATAATTGACGTTACACTGGGGTGATATAAACGTTGATGGGGGTATTAGCATACTCTGAGAAAAGCATACAATTCACTTCACGACGCGCTAGAGCTCTCTTTACTGTCGTCCTGGGGTTCCCCCTTTTCATTTGCATGGAAATCGGGGCATACGGAGAATGACACAGATGCTGTCGTGAAGTAAAAACGTGCAAATTGTGTACTACCACTATCTACGGAGCTGAGAAAAAAAAACTACAGAAGGAGAGGAAGAATTATAGAAAGTAGAAAATGTGATTTACCTTGATTGAAGTTTCCTGACTGTTTTTTCCCTTCTCATTGTTAACGTTCTCTTTATTCTCTAGTTTCAGTTTGTCCTGACTTTTTCGTCTTGGAGGGACAGGAGGGGATGATGGATCCTCCATCTCTGGTGAAGTCTCATCGAACATGGAGTTTTGACGATAGGGAGACCCTGGACCCGGTAAATTGTGCACCGGCACTGGGGGTGCTCTATTCGGTTTATTCACAGTTGCATAGAGCTCCTCTGGGGGTGAACGATAGGACACGGGCGAGGGTGCGTCAATAGAATGTGTGGGACTCAGAGGAGCAGGAGGGGGTGGTCGATACGGGGGTGGATCACGAAGGGGTGAAGTGGCAGTGTGGATATCCGGGGTTGCCAGAGGAGAACCGGGTCCCAGGTGAGAATACATTGGTGATGCTAATTCGTCTAGGCTATGGCGATACTTTTTCTTAAGGACCAGGAATTTTTCCCCCTGTCGAAAGAATGAACAACTCATTCACAGGGTGGTCATCGAATCAAGAATATGCTTTTCAACACTTGTGGGTAGAGCGCAATTTTACGCATGCTCCGTGTGCGCAAAATCCCACTTTCCACACATCATGATGAAAAATAGAGTTCGACACTCGCGGGAAGTGTTCTTTGAACCGTGAGAGGATAGCACTCGACTTCGACGAGCGCTACACACCTCCCACGGGTCAAAAAACAGTTTTAGGCACTCGTATCAAAATATATTATTTGAAAATAAGAAAAGTGAGCGCTTCAAGAAATATTATGCTGTGTTGCTAGTGCGTGAAGAAGTGAATTTTTTCATTTTATTCATTTATTTATTTTTCTCTTGTAAACGAATATCGAGAATTTCTTTGGTTAGCTACGCAAAAATCCTATCCAAGATTATCCTGTGGCGTCACAAGATGTGGAACGCTATATAAACTCCCGTCTTCTGTGTAACTTTATGCACACTAGTGAACTTTAGGCACGTTGTGCAGAAAACAACCGCTTTACGCACACTAAACCGTTTCGAAAAAAAGCACTTTTCAGGCTGGTATCACAAAATTTCCTATTATGTTACTAGTGCGCAAAGTTCCACTTTTTCACACGCACGTGTAACACGTCCTATTTTTTATGGTACCTGCCGAATTCACTGTTCGGAAACGGTAGTGGGCGTAATGTGGTTGATTTTGTACAAGAATGCGTCAAGTTTAAGAGCGTGCGTAAAGTAAATTTCAAGTGCGCAATACGAAGCTTCCAAAGCTCTATTCACTCTTCAATGACTGAAAAAAGTCCTAAAACGGTCTGAGGAAAGTTTACACAAAGAGAGTCGAAAACTGACACATTAATTGTTGCAGTGAAATAGAAAATATTAGACTCAAAATTAAAAATATTACTCTTAATTCAACCAGAATTCAACTCATTGAAGATGCTGACGAGGTAGAAGGTTCTCAATCATTAAAAAGACAGTAAATTTTCATTACAAAATGTGAAGACTTTTTAGTATTTACGGGTCGAGTTCCGGAGCAATTTATTCGATGAAGATCATGTTTGAGATATTTCAGAAAGTACTGTTCTTCAATATTATTCTGTAATATGGAATGAAATTTCCGTCTTTGCCTCAGACCACTTGATACCTTCAATTTTACCAAGTTTTCTAATCAATAGCCTTTTAATAAACCGTAATGAGTCAAAATTAAAATTCTTCTCCAATTGTGCAATCATCTCAAATCCCATAATTACAGGAAAAAATGTCAAACGAATTTTCCTTTAGTTAGGACAGTCTATAACAAACAATGTTTTTTAACATTGCGATATAAAATCATTCATGATCAAGATCACTCAATATCCCACGGAATATGAAAAATACACATCTTGCATTGCACCATTTCATTATTGACATAAAAAATTATTCTCAAATAAAAATCGTTATTATGAGTTGATGAAATTTTTTTTGTGTTTAAACTCCCGCGAGTTTTTTCAAACGTGGCAACATCGCTATCAAGGCATCTCCAGGCGCAACAAGTCGTCCTGTCAGACCGACTCGCTGGCTCGAGCCGCCTGCACACTCATACACACTTACCTCCTCATTTTTGATAGTCGCCAGAGTGTTTACGTACTCCTTGAACTTATTCCGTGCCTCAACTGAAAATAAAATATTTACGATTTTGCTTTTTATTTCTCGAGGATGTTCAGAGACGCATGGTGACGATGAATTAATGTGATTATTTATATTAATATTTTTCCCGTTGAATCATCCGCTGAGGTCACCCGTCACGCCACACAGACACGTTATGCACTGACACTGGGCTAACGTATTATAAATAAAACGACAGCCGTGGAAAAACGAATTTCGGGGAAGTGGGTGCATACCTCGTGTCTCGGGATCAGTGAGGAAGCTCTTGAAATGTTTCACTAGGTCGTGATTTCGCGCTGAGCCACCGTTATCCAATAAATATTTACGTATCTCCTCTAGGGACAACTCACTGGGCGTCGCCATGTTGGACACTGTGTTCAACGACTATCGCGGCACTAGCGGCGGGATTCGATCGTTCCAGCGCTGTCGATAACAACGGGCTCTGGATCTCCGCAAGCTATTTGAAATGCTCCAACAACCCATGAAGGGAAACTATATTTCGCGTGAATTTTAAATGAGAACTAAAAGGATTTTTACGACTGTTATCAATCAAAAATCTAGGGTTGAGTATCGAATATTGTGGATGGTCGAATATTCGGGATTTTATTTCATCTCTCGGGGATATTGTATGGTCCATTCGGACATGCAGAGTAAAATCGTTAAATCCTCTCTATTTCATTCACTCACGTTGACACGACGAGCACGAGGATTTATTGAAAGCCTTTTACCGTAACTGTAATAGCCGTCTGGAAAAATCGCACTCATCGTCATTATCTGTGTTCTCACTCTACAGTTCCATTAAGAATTGTTTCATTCATTGAGAATGCTTTCGTCATGACTCCCTCGACATCAACGATTCATTCGGGTATTTCATATCATTTGAATGAACGTTAGCTCACAGCTCTGTTTTCCCTCTTCTAGATGCAAACTTCTACACGAAGAAGACAATCAGAAGAAAAATTGATGTACAATGTGGGTTTTCGGAGAGAAAATAGTATTTCATTTTTGGACATGGATGGGACATTTGAGGCAAAGCATAATTTTTTTTCCCCAGAAACCGAGTATTTTTTTCATTATTTCCCATTATCCTGTCTTTCTATTTTTCCAGATGCTTTTTATTTTCGTTTTTACTTTTCGCAGCATTTTTATTTCCAATGCTCTTTTCCTTTGCAAAGGCTCAACCATCGTTCTTTTCGAGATGTTCCCTCGTCGCCACCACTCCACTTAGTGACTACGTTCAGTGCTACTGAACTTCCCAAAGCTAAGCACGCCTACACAGTTCGCTAGCCCCTTAGAGGTTCATATACGCTGAGAGGAAAAATTACTTTTCATCACGCTGTGACGAAAAGTGAACTTTTCGGCACGCTCCGCGTGCCTAAAAGTCCAATTTCCGCCACATTGTGATGAAAAATATTGTTCGTAACTCGTGAAAAAATGTTTTTTAGCTCGTGGGATTATATCACTCGCTTTCGGCTCGTGATATAAACCTCCCACTCGCCAAAAAACACTTTTTTCCACTCGTTACGAAATATACTATTTCGTGTCACGGGACCTGAAAATTAATATACACACCTCGCCATGGAAAACATCACCCTCCCCACGTGCTTGCCATCCTCGCCTTCCGCTTGGAAAGCAATCTTGCACGTGGGGGACGGTGATCTGTTTTCCGAGGCTCGGGCATGTAATGTACTATTTCAGAACGATTATTTTCTTGATACAACAGAATATTTTTTTGTCAATTTCTAGAACGTGAAATATCCTGGTAAACAATTTGGTGGTCACACTGATTGAAAAGAGTCTTTCAACAGGATCGGATTCTCTCGCCCCGAGAAAGTTCTTGAGTGTTAGCACAAATCTTCCCATAAATTCGTACAGTTCGCGGTATATCTAGAATTTAATGGATTGTGAGGATTCACACCTTCCCGATCTGATCACTCATCATCTCCAACTGAGGAATTCTTGTTTCGATTGCAAGACGAATACTTTCATTATTAATTTAAGTGTATAGAAAAGTGATCTCAAGTATTGTCCTCTTTGTGCAAGATTTTGTGTAATCGAAGGCCTGATCAAAAAACATTCTAGATATAACGCAAATTACATGAAGTTATGGGAAGGAGGTCATTTCTAGTGTTGAGAACGCTTAAAAATTCTCTCGGGACAAGAGAATCTCATCCGGTTGAAAAAGTTTTTTCTCTCAGTCTGCAAACGAAATTATTTATCAGGAGATTTCATGATTCTTAAAATTGATCAGAGAATATTTGCTTGTGTCAAGTAAATCTTTATTGTCAAAAGTAGCTTTTTCTCTGAGTGTAGAGTAATTCAAGTTTGCGAGTTTTTAATTGTACAATTCGAAAAAGACAACTAAATTCTACTCTATTTTTAGAAAATTTTCACGATACATTAATTTTTTAGTTCGGTAGTTTATACTCGATTTTTATGATAATTTTTTGTGCAGTAGGGAGAAAAGAGTTGGAGAAAAATCACCGAACGAGTCAAGTAATCGTGGAGCCAACTCGATTCTCAGTACTTTTCCACCTTAAATAGGGGAAAAAGTGATTTACTCCGTTGGCCCGTGAAAATTTACTGAACGTGATGGTTATTTGCACCGAAACTGTAAAATTTACCCTGCATTCCATCAAAAATTATCCAAGTGAATGTGAATAATTACTCCAACTTTTCGTATAATTTTTCTGTAACGGGGAATGATTTTTACTGAACCCGGTTGGTAAGAATTCACTTCCATCCGTCCCCATAACCTTCAGATAGATACAAAATAAAGAAATACCCTACCGATGTGGAAAATTTTACTAAAGAGGAGGATAATTTTTGCATCCACAAACGTGTTTTTTTACTGATAAAATCGTAAGATATCCATTAAAAACGAGTATTTTTTCACTGAATTATATTTCGCTTCACGATTACCATTCCTATAATAAAATTTGTCACGATTTTCTAGGTAATTTTTGTCCAAATTTTCTCTCCGTGTAATTAAATTTCCTTGTCGACTATTGTCAAAAGGTTAAATGAGAGAATAGAATGACCGGTGGCAAAGGTGTGTATGCGTGAAAATTTTATGACCGAAAATCGTGTATACATGCGTGTAACACGCACAGGACGGGGCATCGAAAAAGGGGAAAGATGGAGAGGGGAGGAAGTGCTTTAATTACACTGACTTTATCGAGAGTTTTTAATGGAAACAAAAGGGTGGTGAAAATCCAACGAAGGTCCTTCATTTTTTCCTAAAAATCGACTTTTTCGGTTGTAATACATATATATACCCCATAATATTCAAAATTATCGGATATTCCCCGACCGTTTCGTTGAAAAAATGGAGCCGTCATCAATGTGGAGAATATCTGTCAAAAGCAGGGACAACAATAGATAGGCTACTGTGGAATTACCATATGTAATACCACAAGAGACAAGAGCTTCACAATTATCGGGTATTTCCCCATAGGTTCGTTTGTGTGCAGGGAACCTTCAGGGAAATACCCGATTAATTTTGAAGCTCGAGTGGTATTCGAGAGAGAATTTTTCCATCCAAATTTCGGCCAAGGGAATTGCACAATGAGACGAAATCAATCGGTCAGTTTTCACGAGGGGTTCCCTCGATTGCATGATTTTTTGTTTTTTATAGGGGAGGCCGGCGAAAAATGAGAGTGCGTTTTGCGTGCATTTCCCAGGCTCATTTTGCCCCGGTATCCCTCATAGTAGCTACCAGAGAAAATTATCAAAAAAAATTTCGGCTCTAATACTCCGAGAGCTCCAAAATGGTCGAGTATTTTACGATAACTTCGTTGCATACAATGACTTTATCAAGTTTTGTCGGTTAAAACATTCCCGAGCGCACAATGAGACGAAATCAATCGGTCTCTTTTGACGAGGGGTTCCCTTGTTTGCTTGATTTTTTGTTTTTTATACGGGAGACCGGGAAAAAATGAGAGTGCGTTTTGCGTGCATTTCCCAGGCTCATTTTGCCCCGGTCTCCCTCATAGCAGCTACCAGAGAAAATTATCAAAAAAAATTTCGGCTCTAATACTCCGAAAGCTCCAAAATAGTCGAGTATTTTACGATAACTTCGTTGCATACAATGAATTTATCAAGGTTCATCGGTTAAAACATTCCCGAGCGCTTGCGCAAGGGATTTTTCCTGCGAAGCCTGACGCATTCGTTTGTATGCAAGGAAGTTTGAGGGAAATACTCCGATTTATTTTGAAGCTCAAGCGGTATTCGGCAGATTATTTTCTCCTTGTCACCGTTTCGATAAATAGAATGCCGGTATTCGGTACTCTTGACAATTTTTTGTTATTCTGTTTGACAACGGGAAATTACTGAACGACGAGAAATTATCATATGTAATATCTCGAGAGCTTCAAAATTATCAGGTATTTTTCGATAGGATCGTTGTAAACAACTGAAGAAGTCAAGTTTTCAGGTGAAAAAATCATGAGTGCGAAGCACGAGTGATTTTTCCTGAAAAACTTGACTCCTAAATCTAGGAGGAAATATCGGAAATAAAACTGTCGAGTAGCCTCAAATACTGCGCTCTGATTGGTCGAAATCCGATTGGGAAAAATAATCAGCCATAATGCCCTGCGTGCTCCAAAACTGTCAAAAAATTTTCGACAGTTTTGTTGCACAACAATGAGAGGAATAAGTTTTTCAGATGAAAATTCCGAGCGCGCAGCGCGAGAAATTCCATAGTAAAACTTATTTCTATCGTTGATATGCAACAAAATTTTCTATAATTTTGGAGCATTCAGTTGTATTACGTCCCCATTTCTGAATTTCGACCCCTAGAAATGCAGTATTTGATGTTTTCGCGAGTTAAAGCCATATTCATACCACACGGAGAAAAAACTATCAGAAGAATTACTGTGCTTGCACGGTAAAATGGCAGCACCGGAATTTTTGCTGCGCGCTACAGGAATTTTTCTCGGATTTACGGCGAAAAGTTCTTGTACTCCACAGCAATTTTTCCCGTGCTGGCACGATAATTTTTCCGAATCCAAATGAACCCATTTTACCGTGCCAGTACAGTAATTTTTCTGGTATTTTTTTCTCCCTGCAGACCTTCATGCATTGTCATGCGACTAAGTGGAAATAACCAAAATTTATCGCAACAACTCTACCCCCACGTCTCCGCAAATCATCAAATACTGCATTTCCATTTGTTGGCATTCAGTTCAGATGAGGGAATAATCCAAACTATTTTTCCAAAAAACAAAATATCAATCATCGAAATTACTCTTCCCAAGAGAACTCACACAAATTTCTTGAAATAATAAAAACAAGTGCAACTTGGGTCAGAACTTCCGTGCCCCGTTTTAGGTAGGATCGACACGCCAGATCGGCCTCCATAC